CTGGTCTTCGGTCTTTAGTGTTTAATGTATCAAATCTGTTCTTCAGATGATCTCTAAATTCAGGTGGGATAAATTCAAGGTCATATTTTGGTTCTTGTGGACTTGTTTTCATTTTATTCAGCTTCTTTTGGTTAGTGGTAGTGGTTATATGCTATGGAGTCAGTTCTGACTCAATGACTCCAAGACTGTAAATGTTAATAGAGCAGAAAGCCTCATCTTTCTCCATGGAACCACTGGAAGTTTTGAACTGCTGACTGTAAGATCAGCAGCCCAACCCATAACCAGTATACTACCAGAGCTAGTTCAGTGTTTATCCTGCAGCTGGAGTTTATTGACTTTTTTTTTCTGTTGGAAAGACAGCTTGTTTTATATCTCTGAGTGGTAATTGTTCTACATCAGTTTTTAATATTGTTGTAGGTTGCCAGCATAAAGCCATAGCAGAGAGCTGAGGAATACAGGAAAAATAGAGTGGCAAAATTAAGAAGTTGAATGTTGAAAATATATGTCCTTGAAGTAAACTTTTGTAATGTCTTGGAAAGTTTTTGTAAAGAATTTTAATTGTAGAAATTAGCCCAGCACTGATGGGAGAGGTGATTGGAAAGAAAGACAGTTTAATGTAAAGTCTTAGATTTTGCGTATCATCTTTGTCCTGTAGTGCTGTTGAGTGTGTATATGATAAATTTATGGTAAAACACCATTTGATAATATTTTTGAAACTATTGTGAATTGAGTGAAGGTTTACAAACAAGATCATGAGCTTTACATTCAACACATTATATACTTTATTTCATCTCAGTGATTACAATCCGCTCTCTGCAACAGCAGCTAACCTACTTCCAAACTCTGTGGCTCCCCATTTACATCTTACATTTCACAAATGAACAAAATAAAAATATTTTATGTACACATACAAAACAAAACTATATGTTCATTTAAATGTCCAAAAGGCACATTATGCCAGCTAGCCTCCTGCCTGCAGGTACACAGCCTTACTCAGTCCATGGTTCTAGATAGAGCCCACAGCTGCTCTGTTTCTTCATGCCACCACTTCTGCCACTGTCTCTGCTGTTGCCGCTTTTCTGGGTCTGTTCTCACACTCCACTCATGCGTTTCCTTCCTGATGATCCTGAGATCGTATGTTCCTGAAATGAAAGATTATCTACTCCCCCTCTTTTTGTTACACATCTTCTACAATTGCAGTTGTGATAATCTCCATTAATCCCGCTAACAATTTGAATCGAAAGGTTGGTGGTTCAAACTCACTAGCACTCCTTGGAAACACTATATAGGATCACTGTGAGTTGGAACGAACTCGATGGAACAACACTAACTGTGTATCATTGTTCTGGTGTCAGACTAATGTGTGATGCTAGTCAATAATTTCTTTGTTCAAGGCATGTGATTTATCATTTAATGTGTCCTGGTGTGGTACTGTGGGCTAATGGGACAGACTGCAAAGTCATTTGAACTGCAAGGTCGGTGGTTCAAGCTCACTAGCTGCTGCTTGGTAACCCTATATGGGGTTGATATGGGTCGGAATCAACTCAACGGCTCTTCACAACAACATGTCTATATATTGATTCAATAATGAGTGTGTGTATAATAGGATACCTGGTGGTACATTGGGTTAAGCGCTGGATTGCTAAGTCAAAGATTCAAACCCACCAGCAACTTCTTGGGAGAACGAATTGGCAATTTGCTTCTTTAAAGATTCTGCAGTTTAAGTGCTGTCAAGTCGTTTCCAACTCATAGCTACCCTAAATAGGCTATAAAAATTACAGTCCTATAGGGCTGTTGAGTCAGCATCAACTTGATGGCAGTGGGTCTGGGTTGGTTGTATAGTGGTGTAGTGTTCTGGTACTTTTTTTCAGTTTCTTTTTATTGGTATCAAAAATGCCTCTTTTAACATGTCAGAATAATGTAAAAGCACTGCTAACAATGTGCCTATTGCCCTTTTTTTTTCCCATAGGAGCAGCCACCTTATCCTAACTACAATTCTAACTATTGGAATTCTCCTGTTCGAACTAGAACTCCTTACCCAAGTACATATCCTGTAAGACAGGAATTACAAGGCCAGGTATGGTCTAAAATAAACAGAAACTTTCTGAAGCTTTTCTTACTAAAGCTGTTTATATTCAGGACTTGTGAAAATGTTATAGAAGTGATATGTGGGTTGCTTTTGTTTTAATGATGCAGTCAACCACATCTTAATGCTTTTATCTGAGAGATAAGGAAATATTACCTATAGCAAAGATTGTAGGTCACATGTGGATTACTATTTCTTAGGATCTTGGAACAACAGATATAAAACATAATTTTTTTATTATAAATTTTTTATGAAAAATAGTTAATTTAAAATATTTCAGACATACAAAAACAGTACAGAAAATATATACAGCTTTTTATCTATTTTCTTTGTGGACTTTTATGGTTGCCACATTTGTTTAAAATTTTTCATAAGAAAGAAATGCAATTAAGTTTCACATCACACTTTTTTCCCATTCCTGAAATCCTGTGTAATTCCCATTCTTGTCTTTATGCTTTTATTGTTGTTTTTAGGGGCTGTCTAGTTAATTCTGACTCATAGCAACCCTGTATAGGGCTTCCAAGGAGCAGCTGGTGAATTTGAACCACCATCCTTTAGCAGTTCAGTGTTTATCCAATAGTGCTGTAATAGGACTCCTTGTATACTTTTACTACATATACATTCATCCATTGGTAACATGCTGGCTCCAAAAGCTAAACACTAGACTGAACTTCAAATTCAGCAGTTGGAGCCCACCAGCCTCTCTGGCCCAGAAACATGTGGTTTTCTGCCCCCACAAAGACTTAAAAAGAATCAGAAACACTATACAGGGTTGCTATGAGTTGGACTTAGAACAGCACTTAAGAACAGTAATATTCATCCATAAATATTATTCAAGAGGGCTTTAAAAAGTTTGTGGAAGAATTTCATTTTCTTTTCCTGTGAATGTTTTGGAGCCCCTTCATCTAATATTACTTAATACATTTTAAAGCTTGATCTAAGTGTTTTCATACAATTTTCCTGCAGCTTGTTTCTTTTCAACATTGTTTTTCATTTTTTCCAGTGTATGCTATGCTGTTTCAGGCCTCAAGTCAGTTCCAACTCGCATCAACCCTGTATAAGCTTTCTAAGGTTATAAATCTTTACAGAAGCAGAAAGCTTCATCTTTCTCCCCCAGAGAAACTGCTGGATTTAAACTGCTGACCTTGCAGTTAGCAGCCCCATGTGTAACCCACTATACTACCAGGGCTACTTCTTCATGTGCACATAGGATAAGAACTTCCCTTTGTTGCTGTTCTGGTTGTTGATAGGTACCACTGAGTCAGTTCCTACTCATATTAATTCTGTGCACAACCGAACAAAATACTGCCATTTTCCTTAGCCATCCTCACAACTGTTCTTCGAAACACTGCCGTTTCCTTAGCCATCCTCACAGTTGCTGTTACGCTTGAGCCCATTGTTGCTGCCATTTTGCTAATCCATCTAATTAGGAGGTCTTTTTCTTGGTTGACCCTCCATTTTACCAAGCATAGTGTCCTTATCCAGAGATTGTTCCCTTCTGAAAATGTGTCCAAAGTATGAGAGATGAAGTCTTGCCATCCTCTCTTCTCAGGAGCATTCTGGCTGTACTTTTTCCAACAGAAGTTAGCTTGTTCTTCTGGCAGTCCATGGTACTTCAATATACAATGCCATAATTCAAATGTATCAATTCTTCTATGATCTTTCTTATTCACTGTCCAACTTTCACATGCATATGAGTCTATTGGAAATACCATGGCTTGGGTCAGGTGCACCTTAGACCTCAAACTGTCACTGCTCTTAAGTACTCTAAAGAGCTCTTGTGAAGCACATTTGCCTAATGCAGAGTGTCATTTGATTTCTCAACTGCTGCTTCCATGAGTGTTGTTTGTGGACCCAACCAAAATGAAATATTTGACAACTTCAGCCTTTTCTACGTTTATCATGTTATTTATTGGTCCAGTTTTGAGGATTTTTTTCCTTTATATTGATGTGTAATACATACTGAAGGGTGTTGTCTTTGATCTTTATCAATATTTAACAACCTTTTTGCTATCAACAAGCAAGGTTGTATTATCTGTATATCGCAGGTTGATAATAAGCCTCCTTCCAATCTTCATGCCATGCTCTTCTTCATATAACTCAATTGCTCAACTTACTGGCTCAGCATACAGAGTGAATAATTATGTTGAAAGAATACAGCTCTGGTGTACACCTTGCCTGATTTTAAACCATTTAGTATCCTTTTGTTATGTCCTCTGTATAGATTCTTCATGAGCTCAGTCAAGTGTTCTGGAATATCCATTTTTCACAGTATTATCCATAGCTTGTCATGATCCACACAATTGGAAGCCTTCTCATAGTCAGTAAAGCACAAATAAACATCTTTATGGTATTCTCTGCTTTCAGCCAAGATGCATCTGATGTCAGCATTGATATCATCTAGTTCTGGATTCCTCTTCTGAATCCAGCTTGAGTTTTTGGCAGTTCCCTGTCAATATACTGTTACAGCTGTTTTTTAAAATTATTTTCAGCAAAATTTTTTTTGCATGTAATATTAATGATATTGTTTGATGATTTCCATATTCCACTCTATGGAATGGACACAAATACAAATCTCTTCCATTCGGTGGGCCAGGTAGCTGTGTTCCAAACTTCTTGGCGTAGATGAGTTTACACTTCAAATGCTTAAAGATTTCAATTTGTATTCTGCCAGTTTCTGGAGCCTTGTTTCTAGCCAATACTTTCAGCATAACTTGGACTTCTTCCTTCAGAACTATTAGTTGTTGATGATATACTGTCTCTTGAAATGGCTGAGTATCAGCCATTTCTTTTTTGTACAGTTATTCTCTGTATTCCTTCCATCTTTTGATGTTTTCTGCATCGTTCAGTATTTTGCCCGTAGTATCTTTCTGTATTACAAGTAAAAGCTTTAATTTTTCCTTCAGTTCTTTCAGCTGGAGAAATGCTGAGCATGTTGTTCCCTTTTGGTTTTTTAATTTCAACTCTTTGCACATTTCATTGTAACATTTTGTCTTCTCTAGCTGCCCTTTGAAAAATTCTGTTCAGCTCTTTACGTCTTCATTTCTTCCATTTGTTTTCACATCTCTACACTGAAGAGCAAGTTTAAGAGTCTATGCTGACACCCACTTTGGTCTTTTTTTAATTTCCTGTCTTTTTTATGACCTTTTGCTTGCTTCCTCTGTGATGTTCTTGATGTTATCCTATACCTCTTTAGGTCTTCAATCATTAGTGTCTAATGCATCTTGAGATGATCTCTAAATAAAGGTGAAAGGTGTTCAAGATCATATTTCGGCCCTTGTGAATTTGTTTTAATTTTCGTTAGGTCCAGCCTGAACTTGCATATGAGAAATTGATAGTCTTTTTTCCACAGTTGGCCCCTGGTTTTGTTTTGGTTAACGATATTGAGGTTTTCTACTGTCTCTTCTCACAAGTGAAGTTTGTTTGATTCTTGTACATTCTATCTGTAATGGTCTAAATATATAATTGTCTTTTATGTAGTTTAAATAAGGTATTTGCAATGAATAAGCCATTGGTCTTGCAAAATTCTGTAATGTGATTCCAGCATATTTCTGTCATCAGGGCCATATTTTCCATCTTTGCATTCCAATTGCCAGTAATTATCAATACATCTTGATTGCATAGTTGATCAATTTCAAATAGAAGAAGTTCGTAGAATTCTTCAATTTCAACATCATTGGCTTTAGTGGTTGGTGTGTAAATATGAATAATGGTGGTATTAATTGGCCTGCCTTGCATAGGCATATAGATATTATCCTATCACAGTGTTGTACTTCAAGATAGATCTTGAAATGTTCTTTTTGATGGTAAATGTGATGCCATTCTTCTTGAATTTGTTGTTCCTGGCATAGTAAACCATAAGATTGTCAGATTCAAAATGGCCAAGACCTGTCCATTTCAGCTCATGCCTATGACATTAATGTTTATGAGTTCTGTTTCATTTTTGACAACTTCCAATTCTCCTAGATTCATACTTCATATATTCCATGTTCTGGCTATTGATGGATGTTTGCAACTGTTTCTCGTTATTTTGAGTTGTGCCCCCTCAGGAAATGGAGATCCCAAAAGCTTTACTCCATTTGCGTCATCACAGTCAACTCTACTTTGAGGAGGCAGCTCTTCCCCTGTTAACAAATGAGTATTTTCCAACTTGAGTGGCTTATCTTCTAACAGTGTATCTGTCAATATTCTGGTGCTATTCATCATGTTTTCATCTTCCAGCACTATATTTTACAATGTTCTGCTGCTATTCATAAGGTCTTCAGTGGCTGAACATTTAGAATTAGTCTACCTCTTCTTCCTTTTCTGTCTTAATCTGGAAGCTCTTTTGAAACCTGTCTACCATGGAGTACCCTGCTGGTATTTAAAATACTGGTGGCATTGCTTCCAGCATCATAGGAGCACTCAAGCCACCGCAGTACGACAAACTCACAGATGAGTGGTGAAACCAACATATAGAAGTATGCAATGTAAAACAGGCCTATGTGACTACTGGTAGAGAACCAGAGATATATTTGCAACAACAAAATCACATAAAGTAAAAAGAGGGAATAATGTAGTTACAGAACTCCCAAATGAAGAGGAAAATCAAGTAAATTTCAAGAAAAATAAATAAATAAAACCCTAACTGTAACCCTAACAGGATCAAGCCTTACTCCTAGCCCAACCTTACTCCTAATACTAGCCTCAGAACTAACCATAACCCTAACACAAATGAAATCCTAGATGTAACCTAGACCTAGCCATTGTCCCACCCCTAACCTTCACTCTTTACTCCTACCTGCCTAACCCCCCCTCCAAAAAAAAGAGAAGATGGCAGGAATATACAGTCACTGTACCAAAAAAGAATTGCCAGTGTTCATCCATTTTCCAGAGGTAGCATATGATCAAGTACTGATGGTATTAAAGGAAGGAGTCCAAGCTACATTGAAGGCATTAGCAAAAAACAAGCCTTCAGGAATTAACTGAATACAAATTGAAATGTTTTATCA